AAGGAAAGGGGAGTGGTTGTCGTAGGAGACAACAGTTCGTATTTCTGGAGATTTCGCTCATCGTGTTTCGTGCATCAAAGACTGTATTGTCTTATGTGTCAATTGTTTGTTTCCCTCCCTTTTCGAGTTGTAAGCCGCCCTGAGTCCCCCCAGGGAAAAGGGTGGCATATAAATAAATTACTCTACTCTCTACTCTACTCTCTATTTCTCTGTTTGAACTGACTTAATTTGCAGCCGCCTGGCTGGGAGTTCACAGCCTTGCATTTATCATAAGGAGCTGATAAGGACTATTGTTTCAGTTAACTCCTCCCAGGATTCTTGCCTGGAATGCAGTTAATTCCCAAGGTGCAAATAAAGTGGGGTTTTGCTTTGTAGGGAGTCTGTTTCTTGCTCCTGCGAAGGCCGGCTCAGAACCAAGCAGACGGGGGCTCTCCTACAGGCGAGGGGTTGGGGACTTCTGTCTTTTTTTAATTTACTTGCATTTTATTGATTTTTTTTATTAATTACATTTATTAGTGCTTAAGAAGCATTGTGTTGTCTGGGTTATTTAATTTCCTTAACAATTCTGATTATATTTTTAATCTCCACTCTTTTTTCCCAACTGCTGGTAAAATAGATTCCGTATTTGAGGGGTATCCCGTGTCTTCTTTCTGCTTAATTTTCATTGTCAATCTATCCTTTTCTGCACTGTTTAGTATCTTCTTGATTATCTCAAAAAATTGAGTCATGCCTTTGGCTCTTTATATACAGGCCTCATTGACATCGGAGAGACTTTTCAGTGCGCTGACCGTTTGCCCCCTGAAGACATTTTACAGTTGGAGAAGAAAGCTGTTCTCCGGGATCTGGAAGGAAAATACTTGACGGTGATTTCCAACCCCAGGTGGCTGCAGAGAGCCATTCCTGCACGAGGACACAAGGACATCTGGGAGGTGGACATCCCAGAAGATCTGATTCCAGTCCGTTGAATTCCTTTGAACTCGCTCTCCTGCTTGCGATGGAACGGAACAAGTTTCGATCACAGCAAATTTAACTGTACGTTCAGAACTGTTTGTTTGATTCCTCATCATTGGACTTGGGATAAATTCAGTCTCTAGGGAATTCTGAACTATTCCGGGGAATTTTTTTTTACTTATATACTAGCTGATAACTCAGCACTGCTCGGGTATTTATGTATCCCAACCCTCCTTCCGTGAACTTCACTGCAATTTTTAACGTTGGATTTCCCCCCTTACCAGAGGGAGCCCCCTTGTGGAGTACTATGAAGCTGTTGGCAACTCCACAGCACTATAGCGTAGAAGCCATTTTAAGGCAGTACGGTAGAAGCCATTTTAAGGTACAACAGGCTGTATGTTAACAGAACAGTACACCCCGAGGGGTGTTAGGGGTGTCTTACTCCCACAGTATTTGTTTCCAGAGAGAAATAATCTGTGTACCAAGCTTGGTAAAAAAAAGATAACACATACACTAATTGCAATAATAGTGATACAACAAAATAGTTCTAACCATATTTATAATTATATTCACTTATTTATGTCCCTGTTAAATATATTAACATATATTTAACAGATATATGCATATATTCAGGTTTTATCAATGGTTAGAGATAAGAGGTATGTTTAAGTAAAATATGAACATTGTTTATATGTATGGAATTCCAAAGTATTCCAGAGGTGTTATGATTAGATGACTATAAAGCTGAAGTTCTTTAATTAGAAGCAGCGATTTATTTTTTATTTTAAAACATGTTCTTTGTAAGTACATTATACAGTAACTTACATCTCATAACATAAATGAGGTGATCAGTTTTGAAGCGTTTGTTAAGTCACATTTTAGACTTCAAATCATTAATGCACAATATTACTACAGGATGTCCCAAAGGTGCTTTTTTTCAAGGGGCAACTGGACTTTCTGGTTTTACTTTGAAGTTGTTTCGCTTCTCACCCAAGAAGCTTCTTCAGTTCTAAGAGAAGCCAAAAGAAGTTCCTTGGATGGGAAGCGAAACCTCTTCCAAGTAAAACCAGAAAGCCCAGTTGCCTCTTGAAAAAGCACCTTTGGGACAACCATGACCAGGATGACGGAGAATCTCCATACACATCACTACGGGATTCTCTTTGCCAAATTTAATGATCCTTGACTTAGGTGCATATGCTCTTGATGCTCTCAGTGTACATAAAAAAACAAAACACATTCATCACAAATCATAAGGTACAACACTTAATGGTAGTCATAGGGTACAAATCAAATCACACTAGGAAACAATATAAATCATAAAGATACAAGCAAGAAAGTCATATGGCCATAAGTGGGAGAGGAAATGGGGGATAGGAACGATGAGATGTTTAATAGTAATGCAGACTTAGTGAATAGTTTGAAAGTGGGGAGGAAATTATTTGTTTAGCAGAGTGATGGCGTTTGGGAAAAACTGTCCTTGTGTCT